TCCCTTCCTCCCTTCCTCCCTTCCTCCCTTCCTCCCTTCCTTTTTAATTTTGAATAATGCATTTGCCATGCAGCAACATGCTTTCCTTGTTTGTTTCTTGGAAAAATTCAAAACATATCCTTTTCATTGGAGGTTTATTTTAACGTCAAGAGACCCTGAGAAGCAACATGAACTAAAACGACTCCTACACTGCAACCAGTGCTGTTATCAATGTACCTCAGCTTACCTGGATGCAGCTAGTAGTGTACAGACTGCAGCAGAGCTACAAGTCCCCTGTCATCCTGCACACGTGTGAGCTGAACCCAAGCCTATGCTGCTGCTGTTATCTTTAATGAAGTATGCCATGCATTTCTCAAGTCACAGCTCTGATCTCACACAAGACAGTTTAAGATAGGAAGTAGCTGCAGTGACCTTGTCCTAGATAAATGTACATGAGATGATCAGTTGTACTGTGCTGTAATACAATGGTTTTGGTGTTACATCACCCTGCAGACCTCCAGATTTAGACATGCATTTTGATGGGGTGGTTTTAAGGATGTTCTGCATAGTTCAGAGGTGTAGCTCATGGGTTTAGGAAGAAGGGTTTTGCATGTACCAGCCTGAGATCTCAGTCTTTGCTACACATATATACAGAGAAAAAAAAAATCCTTCTGTAAATTCCTCTGGTTTTACAGCACTTATCTGTTAAAAGCATTAAGACTCAAATCATGGAGTTCTTAATTAACTGTTATCAAGAAATGGATGACCTGTCAGCGGAAACTGAAGCTGATGCTGTGTGTTCCTCAGCCCCCTCCTTACATGCCGTTACAACTTCTGCATAAAAACTGAAGTGCTGCCATCAAAGCAGCTCACATTATGGCAATGGTTGAGGTGGGGAAAAATAACCACCATGGAGGTTTCTCGGTAAACCTGTAGAACAGTTTTGTTCTCTTCCATCTTCCCAAAAAGACGATTTTCAAGGACGTGGCGAAAGGTGAGAAAGGCCGTGTAGAATGGAGCTCCCCCCAATTAAAAGGCCCCAACGCCCCCCCTGGTGGGCGAAATATGAAATATCACCGACATTCCCGATGGGATTTTTGGCCCTTTGTGGAAACCTTTGTTGCTCCTTTGGGCAATTCTGGTCTATATTGGAGTGCTTCCATACCAGCAGGTACAAATGTACACATGTGGATATGAAACACTTCCCTGGCATGTATCCCTACAAGCACTGAGACCTGCATGCCAAGCAAAAAAATCTGTATTTTTATATACCAGCATAGGATTTATTTCAACAACAAATCACCACCAGTTCATCAACATGCAAAAGATTCACTAAATCTACCCAGAGACTGAGCAAATATTTCAGATAATACAAGTTTTTGAATGCTGGCATGTGTTCCCTTCTCCCACTGCCTTCTATTTTTATTTGTTTTTAGCTAAAAGCCTTCTGAGGTTCCTTAGGGTTTGCCTATGTGACAAAAGGAACACCTGATAAATTATAAAGCTCCCTGTCCTGAAATAACACTCCCTTTTCATGAAGGAGTCCATCTAATACCTAAAGGGAGCCTACAAACAGGAAGGGAGTCAACTGTTTGAAAGGGTAGATAACAGCAGGATAAGGGGAAGTGGTTCGAAGTTGAGGGAGGGAAGATTGAGGTTGGATGTCAGGGCGAAGTTCTTTACAGAGAGAGTGGTGAGGTGCTGGAACAGCTTCCCAGAGAGGCTGTGGATGCCCCATCCATCCCTGGAGGTGTTCAAGGCCAGGTTGGATGGGGCCCTGGGCAGCCTGGGCTGGTGTGAAATGTGGAGGTTGGTGGCCCTTCATGTGGTGGGGGAGTTGGAGCTTCATGATCCTTGAGGTCCCTTCCAACCCAGACCATTCTATGATTTTATGATTCTGCCAACTAAAATGACTGTTATGTTGGAAGTTGCTTTCAGTATTCCTAAACTCTTGTTTTGTCTCTTGTTTCCCTAAATAGGATAAAATGGAAACACAATTGGAGATCTCTCAGTTGTTGCTTTTAGATACTCTGAATATACAAATGCATACTATTTTCTCCTTCCCTTCCCTTCCCTTCCCTTCCCTTCCCTTCCCTTCCCTTCCCTTCCCTTCCCTTCCCTTCCCTTCCCTTACCTTACCTTACCTTACCTTACCTTACCTTACCTTCCCTTTCCCAAGCAC